TTTTCACAAGGAAGACACATATGAAATATGAAAGTCATAGCTCCACTAAATCAAAAGTTATGGGCAAGGTTAAAGTTTTTGCGGACAAACAGAGAGACAGAGAGACAGACAGACAGACAGACAGAGAGACAGCTAGACAGACACGACAAAAACTATATGTTTCGGGGAAACTTCGTTTACGGGGGCATCAAAATGCGGACATACTAGAACATGAAACCTTTAATAAAAAATGTGGTGTATTGTCTGCTTTGATTTGTCAATGTAATGGTATGTGTGAGGGTTTTAGAGTGTTTCTGAAGTAATTAATCAATAAAATGCTCTTAGTTTTCACTACTTTTTCAGCTGTCCCAGTTTATGTACACTGCGCAGTACGGTCAAGGTTCTCAACTGAAAAACAGGCGATTTTTTTGTGATGACAAAATACAATTTTATTAGGGAGCTGATTGTTTTGTGTACTTTACCAAAATCAGACGAATCTAATATGGCGATTTAAAATATATCGAGGGCGACTAGAGTTTCTATTTAGCCTTGAGGCAGTCATATGAATTTTCAAATAAACATGCAGTACTGAGGCCACATAAAAATTCCCATAATTTGAGGGCATAAACAAGTAAAAATTCTAAACAAAGCTATTACTACTTTCAACGCCAATTTAGTTTTAAAAATAGTGATGTGATCCTAGATAGATTCTGCTATTTCATTGTTAAGATATCATTTAATCTGCATGCTGAATTTCTGCTGATCATCTGCAGTTCAAATACATTTAGAATTTATTCAATCACTTTCAAGAGTTCACGTAAAAAGAATGACTTCTTTAGCAGCTAAATACTTTTATTTTATTATATTTGATAGCTTACTATAAGCATTTGCATTGTGCACTTGCATTTAATTACCTTATTAGGACCATTGAATTATTAACAATTGTACTTGTATTCGAATATACGGAAGTGCAGTCCCTGAAACGTTCTATTATCCCATTTTTCCGTTAGCTCACCGTTCGTTCAGCGTGCGTTTACCGTTCGTTCCGCGTGCGTTCACCGTTTGCTCTCCGTTCACAGTTTTGCGTTCACCGCTCACCGTGTGCTCGCGTTCACCGTTCACAAAACGTTCACCGTTTGCTCTTCGTTCCGTTTACTTTGTCTTCACTTTGCGTCCACTTTACTTATCCTTCAGTCTTTAATGTCATTCGAAACTCCAAAGTGAAAGGACATATCATTTTGATGGTAGGGATTTACACCTTTTTTTTAATTTAAGGACAGGTTCCTTTATAATAGATTTTTTTTTCTAAGAGTTTGTCATTGAAGAATTGCTACTTAAACATGTTTAATTTACTGTGCATTTCTGCAAGATACCAGGGGTAGTTTTTCTTATGTAATCCTTTGGGGAAGAAAAATATTTTTCCAATTTCAAATGTATAAGTGTTTGGATTTTTAAAAACGTTTTGAAACTGGTTTAGAAATCAAAATGTTATTAAAATTTTGAATATTTTTCTTACATTACGAAAATATACAAAACAGATTTTGAGGAACGTCTCGTCTGACCTTAATAACTAGGATATCGTTTTTGAAGAGTTTTTATTTCATGGCAAAAATTATCTACGACATTTTTTATAATTATGACTTATTTTGTACTGTATACATGTACATGAAATTTCTATGGAAAATAAATGTTGTTATAAGCACATTAAGTACCTACATGTATGTAGAACGATGCTGAAATATCAAAATTAATAAGGGCAATGCGATGAAGCAGATGTTCTACCCTTTCCGGATTTGTGCGTTCCGTATTTTAGTTTTTTTTGGTTTATATGCGCTTAGGTAACGTTGCGTATACGACTAGCAGGATGGCATGGCTGTTCACGGTTTTTGCCGTCTTATACATGTCATTGTTTAATTGCAACCGAGTACGTTTATCCCTGGTGTATGTAAATGTCACTTGTGTTTTACGTATATTATGTATGGTCTCTGTTTGGTTATAATTATTTTGTATAACAGTTCTGTAATGTTTATATTATTTCAGGTGAGGAAATTGAACGTGCACCATTGTTTCGTAAAATAATCTAAATCAGAATGTATAATTGTAAGTTTGTTCAGATATAAGTAAGTACGATGTTATCATTATGAGCATATTGTGTTGTGTTGTGTTGTTTATTTGTTTATATTGAGTATTTAACTCTTACATGTCTTGTTATAAATAAACAGAAAACTGTTTATTGTTGTATTTCCTGGACCTGCAAGACAATGGTAATGTCATGTCTGCTTGTGAATGCGACATTTAGGCAGAACACAAATACCACCATATTAACAATATATCACCTTGTTCGCTTACTCACTTTTTTTTCAAAGTTTATATGTGGTCTTCATCTCGAAATTTAGATATATCGACGACGTATTATCAAATAACAATTATTGTAATACTCAAAAATATGTCAATCCACATATCCCAATGAGCCCTAAAAAGATACCAGAGGGTCTTAGCATCGGTTTTTTTTTTTTTGGTTTTTTTTAGTGTAAGATGACGTTAATGATAATCCAACAAAAACTTTTTATAGTAAATGTAATGACTTAAACTTGCAATCGTCAAGTTCTTATACTAATACAGCAACATATACATTTATGACCTGTATACTCAATTGATTTGAAAGCGAGAGCTAGCTTTAAGTATAAACAATTTCAAAACCGAGGTAAATTTTTGACAAACAAGTTGATGAAACAGGAATATCAGCAGTCTCGTTAAAAGATTTTCTTAAGTATGTTATTTGGTGGACACAACGAATTTATCATTGAATCAAATGCTGACTGACGTTTTTCATTCTAATTTTTAGGCTATTATGTACACACTATCTTGTCTATTGGTTTCCCCCTTATTCCCCTTTCCTGACAAGGAGCACACGGCGGATGAGACCGGTCTGCAGGGAATGCTTACTTATCCAAGGCATCTGATCATATATATACCTCTGATGTTTCGTGATGATGAACCGTGTTTGTGTTTGCGCTGTTCCAAAATATATTTGTTAGGGACTTTTATGCTTGAATACTGTTTGTTATTTTTCATTGCAGCTTCTCTTGAAAAAACGTAAAAGATAGTTTTCATTGACGCCATTGATTAACAAAACACTGAAATACTTTAATAATAGACAAGTGAACAAAATGCTGATAAACAAATTTATTGTTGTGAATATTTGACAACGTCTAGATACACATGAAAACAGATCTGTATAGAGAAAAGCGATAAAGCATATAATTGTCTGGTGTTCAAATGGGTACCTGTGCAGTAAATGGCATACATACAAAAATTGGTAATATTATGTAGGAAAATAAACACCAAGTAACTTAGTCTAGATATTATCTGGACTTGAAAAGATTATTGAGATAGATATATCAGAACTAGATTTTGTATCTATTTTCATGTATTTACTGTAAAATTGAAATTGCTGAAGACGGGGACTCAAATTTCTTATGAACTCTAGTACTGTTTTTTTTTAAATCTATTTGCTCTTCTTTATCATTTTAGAAATATTTAAATCATGAGAAACGAAAGTAGATTCTCACATGCATTAATGTCAAAAGATATAAAGCTTGGAAAAATATAACGAATTCGCTGTGACATTATCATTTTCGAATGCACAAGATAGGTGAATCAGTAAGTAAAAGGTCTTTTCATGAACACATGGCTTAGGAACTAAAGACTTAACAACCTTGTTCAAGATTTTCATATATCAATTTACTTGAGAAGAGAAACGCTTGCCTCATAAAAGAAAAGCTTTAAATTGTTAAATAAAAGAGAATTAAAAATAGAGCAAAGCTCGTTGCAAAGCAACGAGTAAGTCCTCCATCCTGTTGGACCGGAAGTAACTTTTATTTAAAAAAAAGAAGAGAGAATGACGTCTGTAATGATTAAAATCTTCCTTAATTTATGCTGAAAATTGCAAAAGTAAACCATTTTTTGCTACTTTTTGTTTGACCGGAAGTGACGTCGACGGACGAAAATTTAAGTTTCACGCTTCCAGTGAAATATATTTTCATGTCAAAAACGGAAAAAAATATGCAGTTTCTGACTACTTCCGGTTTGGTCGGAAGTGACGTCACAGGACGTATTTCGATGATATCAGTAGATTTTACCAAAGATTTTCAACAATTTTGCTTCTTTGATGTATAGCAAATTCTCAATACTTTTTGAGATATCTGGAAAAAACTTTTGGCCCCTCTAGATGCCTTAATTTAGTGGTCAGCCCTTTTTCTGAGATACTATTTGAAAGATCTTCTAATTCTGCACAAATAATATTCTATATATTAAACAAGATATTTTTTAGTTTAGAGAATAAGAAGCAAAATATGAGTAATTTTTGGTTATTTTAAGCGTTCTAATTCTTTTACCCCTATATAGCGCCATTTTGAATAGAGAAATCGAAAAACAAAAACCAATTTGAACAACTTCAATCCTTCTATTAACTAAAATCAGTAGAACTTCTGCACCTGCTTTAAACGTCTCTGAGCCTTTGTCTGGAAACGAAAGCCTATACATTTTCATTAAAAGGGGAATAACTCAAAACTGGAAGTGACGTTAAGACAGCATTCTGATAGAGTTTAGTAACTTCTAGTACCTCTGAAAATTTGAGCGAAATCAATTAAAAATGAGTGAGATATGAGGCTTCAAAGTTGCCGTCTAGGAAGTAGAAGGAAAAAAAAGAATAATAATCTTTACCAACAGAATCAGTAGACGGTCTTCCGAAAATATAGTTAAGTCATTTTCATTTAACTAGTGTAATACATGTTTAATATAATAAAAAGATAAAAGATGTATATTTGAACGTTATAATTTTTTTCTAATGTCTTCCAATAGTCATCTGCGAATAATAAAGCCGACTTCCTGATTCGATAAGGGGAAGCCAGACGGGAAATGACAAGTTTCCAAACTTAGGAGCATTTAAATTTGCCGCCGCACAATTATCAAACCACCATCCAGAGGCCATTCTGTTAGCGCACAGCTGTTCGTTGTCATGGTCAAAGGTGAAGAAAGGCTGATTTACTATATTAGGATTCCTGAACGCATCAGCTACAAGATAAAATTAAAACTTTTTAAAAGTCCTTAATTGATAACGCTTTCAAGATATAAAAGCTGAAACAATCTGCCGGTAATGTATTTTTTCATGCATAGGAATTTTTGTTGTTTTTTTTTTTTTCAAATAAGAGTGTAATACCAAAACATTTGTTGGTAATGGGAGTTCCAATAGTCCTTCATTTTAAAATTCGTTATGAAAATTCAAGAAAATAAGTTATGGTTTTGAAATTACATGTATTATAAAATGGCTGCCTTTCCACTGAACGTCATGTTCAAACATTTGAGAAAAACACGAGCCTATTGATTATAAGTCATCAGAAAAGTATGCTGCATGCACATACAAAATATTTGCATAGAAACATTTCATTAAATACGCTATAGTCTTCTCATTTATATAAAGGATGACTGCACTTAAGGAAACTTAGAAATTGCGATATAATTAATTTTTAAAATGGGCATTTCTCTTTCAATGGTAGAAATGGTCGATGTCTTATCTGCAACTTTGTGTAATTACGTTAATTAAAAGTTCGTATTAACGAAGTTCGAAGTCGTTTTTATAGAGAGAGGTCATCGCATATTCTGGAATCTCCATAGGATAATGAGTACGCCCATCTTTTTACAGGCTTAATACATAGTCAGCGAATGTTTGTCTATTGATCTCTTTTTTATGGTAGTTGTATATTTATATATATTACCTCATATTAAAAGGAGATCAATAGACAAACATGCGCTGATGGTTAAAAAGAGAAAAAACTGTTTCTTCGTGTGTTCACTTTCTCTATAGTATACAGGCCATTTTGACCACGTTGTTACCTGTTGAATATTATAATTAACCACGTGATTTGTATACCCAGGTAGCTCTGTGAATACTAAGATTCCATCACGTGACGTGTAAGGAAACACGCATTCTGCTTGCCGATAGTGATTGTTCATATCTGTTTCAATCCATTCCCATCGAGCCACGGGCTATTCTTTTTTCTCTTAGATATCTATAAGATTATTCTTATATTTATCTCATAAGCGTTTCATTTTACTATCCTTATAATTATATTTTTGAATGCATGTCTCTACATGTTCGTAGTCTACAAGAAAAAAGAGATTTATTTATTATGTTTTGAATCATTTCTTAACATGAACATCGAAAGTAAGATCCAGTAAATAAAATTGAAATCATACCATCCTCAGCACGCTTATTTATAGGGAAAAGTAATTATAAAAGAAATTTAAACAAAACTTGAGTAATTGTGATGTTTTTCTTTCTTTATTATAAAAGGGAAAAAAAGAAAGTCAGTCTTACTGTTGTTATCGGGTCTCGATCCCGGACCTAAATATTAATGATTCTGTGCATTATCGACTGAGCTAGTCGGCACTTATATTCGAACACGCGAATTGTTGATATCAGCCATTGCTGTTGATTATCAATGAGAATGGCTACTTCTACCGGTCGATGTTATTTGTTATTAGTTATACTGTATACTTTAATTGAAAACTTAAAAAATAAAAGTAACAAACATTTGACGAGAGAGAGAGAGAGAGAATGCACCAAATATAAATACAGTAGCTATTCTAATTTTAGACCACTAGCTCATCACAATATTAGCTCCACCCCTCATGCATATTTATAAATCTTTTCTTCAATCAAGGGCAGATAAGTCTTATTTCCCGATATTTGCAGAGAGGTGGGGTAAGGAAACAACGAATTATTTCATTGCAACGCAGTTTATAACCTTTATGACATTGCATTTCATTTAGAAATAGACCAAACTCTATAATAAATGACTTGAGACAAAAATAAAAACAAAAATAAATGTAACAACAGATATTGAAAAAGAACCAAAAACCGGCGTTAAGTGCAGTCATCCTTTATTAAATCATAGTCTACATGTTAAAATGATATCGGAGGAAATGCAGAGTTTTGTTTTAAAAATATATTTTACAATCCTTGAATGTGTATTTTATTGTATAGAGTTGTAGGCGTCTGCTTTGCAAAAAAAAATAATCGTTTAAAAGTCGTGTCTTGATGCTTAACCAGAGCATGACACATGTGTTTTATGTTCCATACCTTAAAGGTTTTGAGAAGCAATACTACTTACTAATATTTCCTGATTTTTCTCCCAAGGACAGTCTGTAACCATCAGTTTCATCAGAGATAGAAAACAAGCTGTAGTTTACTTCATATTTGTAGATACGAATACCGTTCGGTCCTATTCCTGTCATGTAAATGTGTAGATCGTATTCGAAAGTCGTAGTCAGCATATGAATGACGTCATTTCCTTTCACAGAAGAAAAAACTCTGCTAAAATATCGTCTACATATAAAATTTTCAATGAATTTCACTAAACACAATATCATTTAATTTTCTTTGAAATGTTACAAAGTAAGTGATAGTCTGTAAGGCTGTATTACTAGTATATAAGTTAAAAACAAACATATACCAGAAATATTATAGCCTTAAGGGCAAAAATTAAACAGAGAAGATATTTAAACTTGATTAATAATAGATATTTTGGAGTTATCTCTCTTATAAATGAAAGTCGCCCGCGTGGATCAGTGGTTAGAATGTTCGAATTCCAGCTTTGAATTTAAAGGCCGGTCCTTCGGATTAGACCATATAAAACGAGGTCCCGTTTCGCAGTACGTGTTGGCACGATAAAAATCCCTCACTGCTCAGAAGCATTTAGTACCGAATATAGAACAAGAATTTGCAGCTCTCCAACGGTGTAAAGTTGAATATTGACCTAAGTTGAAAATTGACCCGGGATTGAATTTTTAATTTAAAGATCACTGATATCGAGTCGGCATATGAACTAAAGTCACTATTGTTAACTGATCATACGCCATTGGTGCACCTAAATGTTGAATTGAAGCCCACAGCAAGTATTTTCTTCTTGCCATGCATATGGAGATTTTTAAAACATATTCTGATGCTGGTTTATAGAAATATTAAAACAGGCCGGCCTACAAAGGAACACAATTAATGCCCATCGAAATATTTTTGTTCTGGTCTTCGAAAAAAGAAAAAAATGGTTTCGATGAGGAACGCCAGCGCCCTTTTAATATCAACTTCATGATTCTTTTAACAAAAGGATTTTCGTTGATGATCAAAAAGGTTGATTTCTAATTTTCTAAGGGGGGGGGGGCTAAGCATCCCTAGCCCCCCCCCCCCACCTATTCCCGAGGCCTATGGATTAAATCACAGTTGTGAAAACCAAGTCATAAATATGTGTTTTTATGCTGTTGTATTTAAAACCAGTTTTCATGATTTAAAATCAACGAATTGGTTCAGTTTTCAACGGACTAGGGTTAAATTCAACGCCTTTGGTCTCAGTACTCAACGTTGACAACTGACCCCCGGGTCAATTATCAACCTGGGTCAAATATCAACGTTACACTGGCAAGTGGTCGCGTCTCCATATGAGTAAAATATTTTTGAGAAGGCCGTTAACAACATACAATCATTCAATCTTATCGGATAGTTCTTTAAGTGCTTTAAAATTTTAAATCTTAAAACTTGTGTTATATTGATAGTAACTGGTATAGCAGGATCTTTCTTTTACCTAACCAATACTCCCTTCTAACATCCCCAAATCCTCGCTTGTATTCCTCCCATGTAGCATTGAAATTTATCCTGGGAAACGAGCCGTCTCTGTACTGAACAACCTAAATAAATGAAAGTACTTTTATTTATTTAAGGAATGAAGCTAATTTCACCTTATGTTATACGGTATGACATAACTTGGGATAATTTACGCTTTATGAACCTCGAAACGGTTAATAAAAAAGCATAAACTGCCCCAAGTTATGTTATATCGTATAACATAAGTTAAAATTAGCTTCAAACCTAATCATTTAATATCAGTGTAGACAATGTGACAATTTCTCCTCAGGAAAAAGACTTCACATATATTATATTTTAAAAGTAACGTCAAACGGAGTAATGCGTTTTGACGTAGCTCATTGTGACGTAGGCGAGTTATGTTATACAAAATATTATATGTTCCTCTCAATGATTCAGTCAATGAAATTGCTTGATACAAGCAAAATTAAATTATATAATTTTAACATGATTTTTACATCATTTCTATATTGATAATGTAACATTGGACTCCCGGTCTTATATAATCATGTATTCTATACATAACACAGCTGTCGACAATTTCAGTGATCTGATTAATAATATTTTAACTTTTTTCTCAAGATTTAAAAGAATGCATCAGTGTATTTTTCGTTTGACGAAGATACACGTATAACTTCTGATGAAATATATTTTGGATTTTCATGGTATTTTTAATCAGTTGGATCCTTATTGAATTAAATGGTCGCAGGGTATCAGGTCCGGATAATGACAATATGTTATATTTCCACTATTGTCGAGTTAAACTTCTTAGTGGGCTCTTTTGTAAAAAGGTTTGAAAATCTACAAATATTTCCAGATTTCTGGAACAAAGGTCATACAATATGTTGATATCAATGTACAAATCCTAGCAATATGCAAATGTTACATTTATTTTATGATCTTTTAAAACATCAAGAGTTGGAATAATTAGCAATTTATATCTAATTCTAATTTAATTAGTTACTCTTCACACTTTATTTTACAATGTCATTTACCTTATGTATCGTATTTTATCATGTTAGTGACTCAATGTACTGTATTTTATTATGTTAGTGAATCTATGCATTGTATTTTATAATGCTTGTGACTCAATGCACTTTATTATAAAGTGTCATTTGCCAAATATGTACAGTATTTTATCATGAAAGTGACTCTATTTACTATAATTAATCATGAAAGTGACTCTATGTACTGCAATGTATCATGTTAGAGACTCTATGTACTGTATTGTATCATGTTAGAGACTATGTACTATATTGTATCATGTTAGAGACTATGTACTATATTGTATCATGTGAGAGACTCTTATGTACCGTATTTTATCATGTTGGGGACTCTATGTACCACATATCATCATTTTAGTAGCTCTATGTATGTACGGTATTTTATCATGTTTAATAGCGATTATAATTATTGTATTTTATTATCTTGTTTATTACTCCATGCACTGTACTTTATAACGCTAGTTATTCTATGCCCTGTATTTTGTCACGTTCGTGACACTATCCACTGTATTTTATCACAGTATTACTTAATGCACTGTATTTTATCATTTCAATTATTCTACGTACTGTATTTTATCATTTCAATTATTCTATGCACTATATTGTGACCCGCTTACGCAAAAGCGAGGGGGCATTAAATCTCATTCATCTGTCCGTCTAGCTGTCCGTCCGTCACAAAAACTTAAAACAGTTGCCCATAACTTTTGATAAAGTGTAGCTACGATTTTCAAATTTCACGTGTATTTTTATGACAAGACCTTTCTTTGGGTACCACAAAATTTGACATTGAAGTTTGACCCACATTTACCCTCAAAAATCCAAACTTTTACTTTGGCCATAGCTTTTGAATTGTAGACACTAGGCCTTTTATATTTCAGATATATATTTTTTGTGGCAAGACTTTTCATGCAATGCCAAAAAGCTTTAAACCGGTCAAGGTAGCCTAGTGGTAGAGCGTTCGCTTCGTGATCGGGAGGCCCGGGTTCGATTCTCGTTCGCGGCGCCGCGTCATACCTAAGACGTAAACAAAGGTAGTGACTGTTCCTTCGCCAAGCGCTCGGCACTAGAAGTGAAAGTCACGGATCTTTCGGATATGACCTTAAAAACGTAGGTCCCGTGTCACGGTAGGCGCTGGCACCCGATAAAGAACCCTCACTGCTCAAGGGCCCTGAGTGCCTAGTATAGGTTTAAATTTGAAGCCCTTCACCGGCATACGGTGACGTCTCCATATGAGTGAAAAATTCTCAAGAGAGATGTTAAACAATATACAATCAATCAATCAAAAAGCTTTTAAATATTTACCTTGACCTTGGAGATTTCTGTTCCTGTGAAAACAACTTTAACCTTAGCCATAACTTTTGAACGGTAAGAGAGGGCTTTCATACTTCACATATGTAATCAATGTGAAACGACCTTTAAATTGAATACAAAGAACTTTGGCCTTTTGAATTTGACCTTGGAGTTTAACCTACTTAAACAAAAACATACCTTGACCATAGCTTTTGAAGGATTAGGGCTAGTGCTTCAATACTGCAATTTTATTCCTTGTGATAAGATCTTTCATTGAATATCAAAACTTTGACCCTTTGACCTTGGCCTTGGAGTTTGGCCTAAATTTTAAAAACTTTAACCTTGGCCATAAATTTTGAACAATATAAACTCGGACTTCTTTATTTCACATATGCATTCTTTATGGCATAACTTTTCATTGGATACGAACAACTTTGAACTGTTGACCTTGACCTTGGAGATTTCGGTACTTGTGACGAAACTTTAACCTTGACCATACCTTTTGAATGGTCAGGCTTTCAAACAGTAAATTCCTTATTTTTCACAAGAACTTAATATCGCTAATTAACTCTTTAATGTCAATTCGCAGGAATAATTATTCTCCAATGAAAGATTAAACAGAAGAATTTACATGGAAGTTAGCACCATAAAAATAAAACCGAGTGAATAAATTTCGCGTGTAATGCATCTCGCGAAATTACTCGATAATATATTCTTCGCTAATTATTAGGAATTTACAGTTCTTCTGATATGTAATCCTTGTCCAAAAAAGTTTCATTAGATACCATGAACTTTCGTTAGATATGATGAATGACCTCGACCTTCGGGTAATAATATATTTAACTTAATATTGTTTTTAAAAAAAGATAACTTCAGTGATAATTTCTAAATGACATATGATAGTGCGTTTACATTTGAGACAATGTGTCATAAAAATGACATCTCACCCACAAATTAAGACACCGAAATCGGGGGACCAGAATTTGCTTGTTTTTATCATATTGGAGTTTTATGAAGAGACTGACTTTTACAATTGACGACTGATTTTTACAATTTAAACATAGATAAACACCAATCACTAAGATGTAAAAGTCAGCTGTCAAATGTAAAAGTAAGTCTCTTCATAAAACTCCATTACTCGATGTACTGTATTTTACTATCATGGTTCTTTCTCTGTGCACTGTATTTTACCATGTTTTGTACTCGATACATTGTTTTATAATGTTAGTTACTCTATGCATTGTATTGTACAGTTCTGCCTCCAGATTGTGAATCCATTCTGCAGAGTACGGACATGCCATGACTATTTTCACCAAATGGGTATATTGTGTAAATCCCCGTCTTCCTCTCGCCATTTTTGTAAATGTCCGAACAATCAAAGGGAGCTCTTTTACCTGCAAGAAATAAAAAAAAAATATTGAGCTATATTGAGCTATTAGGCCAAAGAAATTTGAAATAAAGGTTTCTTAGGCCAAAAATCGCAAAACTAATTCAATGCAACAGGGAGGTTTTCTTTAGCATGTATCTTTTTTTTTTTATCAGTAATTCAACAAAATGATAATATAAAATAATTCTAACTTAATTGTTTTCTTTATAAACTAAGAATAATGTTATCAACTTTGAATAAGTCTTTTAAAGATGATTAATAAAGTATCGTTTAGAGTAAAAGAATACTATTTTCTCATAAAACGTTTATCTACAACATGTGATTATGTTTCCCAAACGAAGTTTAGTATGCATGTTATGTAAAGGGTGTTAAGAAAGTTCGTTCTGTTCGTAAATTTAGAAAAAAAAATGATAAAAGCAATATTTCTATCAAAAATTAATTTTGGTAAAACTAGAGGATATGTCTCATCCAATCAACAGTTATCCTTCCCTATGTGCACTCTCTAGTGTTACTATAGAGTCCTGCAAACATTGATGTCTATTACGTCATCAAATAAAAATGACGAGTTCTGTGAAAAAGCAGACGTCATGTACAAGTGTCGATACTGTAAACGAACGAGCTCAAGCTTTGGCATTATTAGATGCAGGATTAAGTGTTAAGGATGTGGCTAAACAACTGTGTAAAAGTGAGCGATGGGTAACAAAGTGGAGACGAAGACGAGAGCAAAACAAACAGCTAACCGATCAACCAAGATCTGGCCGACCATCGAAGATAGCAGGCGTAGTAAAGAGAAAAGTGGAGAACGTTAAATACAAAAGAGGGAAATCAACAAGAAAATGTAGCAAGGAACTCCAAAACTCAGGCTTTAATGTGAGTCATGTTACAGTATTTAATTATTTGCGAAAGGTAAAAAAATGGAAGGCATTTAAGCGGTCAAAAAATCAACTACTAACAAAAGTACAACGACAGAAAAGATTGAAATTTACTCGTGATCACAAGCATTTGACGGCTAAAGACTGGGAGAATTACATCTTTAGTGACGTGTCTACAAAATACTTGTTTCATGTTCCGAATCGACAGGACGACATTGTGTGGGGGTCCCAACCAGATGAGGTACCCGACGTAAGCTGCGTCAAGTCAAGCGCCAAAATCATGATATGGGGTGCTATGGGAGTTCATGGTTTGTCCCAGTTACATATCGTTCCAGTCGGCGAAACTATAAATGCAAATTATTATGTGAATAAAATTCTTCAAAACGAACTTAAACCTGCACTGAATCGACAGAAAAACAATGGCAGGATTGATGAACAAAAGTTGGTTCAATATCCAGGACACGCTACGCTTGTTCTAGATGGGGCGAAACCTCACACTGCCCTCGTAACTCAGAATTGGTGTAAAAATAATTTACCAAACTTTATTTCCAAAGAAGAATGGCCTGGCAATTCCCCGGACCTAAACTGCATAGAAAATCTCTGGAGTATCCTGGACAGTGAGGCCTACAAGGATCCGCGCCCAACGTCTATGATCCAATTACGTCGCCGCCTTCAACGTGCATGGAGGGAAATACCCCAGAAACATTTGATTTCTTTAATTCATTCAATGCCAAATAGAATTAAAAATGTACTGAAAAACAAAGGTGGACTGTCTGGTTATTGAAAATAAAAAAAATACACATGAGTTGTTTTTTGATAAATTTAGGCCTAATGTAAATCACGGAACGAACTTTCTTAACACCCTTTAGATTTAAGATCATTTTGTGCGCACCTGCTTGCAAAAGCACGGACGTACAGCACGAGAAATGACCAATATAATTGATAGTGAAGTAACTTTTTTGTAATTTTTTATGAAACGCTCTGATAGACTGAAAATTAAGTCTGATTATTTTTCTTGTTTTGTGTCACAGTCTTATGAGATTTTTAACTTAGTCATACATTATGAAGATTCACATTATGATATATAAGAATTGTCATGATAGCAAGCACATGCACGTCTGTTGCAATCTGAATGGCTAAAACTTTAAACTGGTTTAACTTTCTTAGTTCTCAATTTTACAGGATGAAATTTAGAATTTAAATTACAGTCCCTGAAACGTTCTACTTTCCCACCTGAACGGTGAACGAACGCTGAACGAACGGTGAACGAACGGTGAACGAACGCAGAGCGAACGGTGAGTGAACGATGTGCGAACGGTGAACGCAACTTGGTGAACGATGTGTGAACGGTGAACGGTGAGTGAACGCAGAACGCGAACGGAGCGCAAACGCAAGCGCAAAGTGAACGGTAAACGAACAGTGAACGCAAGATGAACGATTTATTCGGAATGCCTTTGGTCTTTTCCTTGCATTGAAGTTATTTTTTTTATTCTATAATTTAAATGTCATAAATAAATATAAATAAACAATAGATAAACAAAAAATTAATAAATAAATAAATAAATAAATAAATAAATAAATAATAAAAATGAAATTCTACACATATGTATGTAAATCGATATTTTTATAACATGATTTTAATCGCCGTCAAACGGGTATTTGTTACCGCGTGTAGTTAAAAAAATAAATTAATCTTATATAGTAAATAAATATGCTAATTCTTTTAACTAATAAAATAATTTGGACTTTAGAAGATGAAACTTCTACTGAGATAAACAATAGATAAATAAATAAATCAATTAATCAATAAACAAATAAAAACATTTTTCTGCACATACCTATGTTTAAATCGATATTTTAATAACATGATTTTAATCGCTGTCAAACGTGTATTTGTTAAAATAAATTAATCTACTAATATAGTAAATAATTATGCTTATTCTTTTCACTAATAAAATAATGTGGACTTTAGAAAATAAAACTACTACTTATAAAATGAATTAATTATATTGTACGGGGTTGAAGCAACCGTACATGTATTTCCGTGCCAAAGCGATTCTGAGTAAAATAACGGATTTTTTTTTTAAATTCACAATTTTCTGTTGACATTGACTGTTATGGTACTGCATAAAATTTTCTCGTTTTATTCAGATTCTACTGAAAAATATTCTATATTTATGTGCCTTTTTATTCTTTTATGACGATTATTTTAGCTAACTTCTTCATGTATCTGTAGACATTTCCCGGCCGTGATTATACTCGGTCAAGATGTTAAAAAGAGGCATTCAAATTATTTGTAATACATGCGTAGATTAAATTTTCAAAACTAAATAAGTAATGCGTTGTCATAATTTTTATTGAACAGAGAAATGTACAAGAGAGAGAGGAAGAGAGAGAGAGAGACAGAGAGAGGGAGACAGTAAGAGAGAGAGAGAGAGATAACCCCCTCGATTCTCAGATATATATTCTATCAAATAAAAATTCTTATTATTTTTCCTAAATATTCCAAGCAATAAAGGTAATCTTTTTTTTTTTAGATTAACTAATCCATTTGACAGTAATCATTAGTTTTTATTTTCCATCATCAAGTTCACACAGTTCACAGGAAGTCCGTGCTACATTTGTAGTAGCGTGCTTGTGCTGTCAATCAAAATGATTCGACACAGTGGAGATGTGGAAATAGCGTTTCACCGAACATGCCGAAGGCAAAGAGTCACTTAGTATTCCAAGAAATTTTAATATTTTTCCCTACCATTTCTAGATCTGATTTTTGCATTCCTGCAGAAAAAAATAACTCGAATATATACTTGGAAGGATTAAGTTTTAAATTGAATCTAAAACATTCCCTGCCAATTTAAAATACTTCTGTCGGCACAAGTTTATGCTAAAATACTATTGTTTAATGACTGTTTGATGTTGGTTTTAAGACTGATTTTCTTGTGCTACAATAAAAATTAAATATAAATTAAAATATACTGTAAAAATCAATAAGAATTTTATTTCGGGAGAAAAGGCACCGGGGGAGGGGGGGGGGTCTTAATTATACCGAATGGCAAAAAACATATCTTTAAACATATGTTTAGGTACGGTGAAGGAAGGAATTTTCCTTCTCTAATAATAGACTATTTTAAACAGTTGGTCTTTTCTAAAATTTAAAACCACACCATCAATTTAAATATCTCTAAAGATTTTTAACTAACTGAATTGTTGCAGTACTGTTCATAATTCTCAAACCTACATGTAGTTTAAATACGTGTTACTATAGAAATAATTTTTTAATGTATTCTTGTTCTGTAAAAGGCTTGGATTAATTATTATACATCCATTAATAATTTGTCCTCTTTAAAATTACATCAAATTGATGCCGTGCGTGAAACATTTGTACATTGCCCTTTTTTGAAGTTAATATTTTAGCATCGTTCTACATACATGTAGGTACTTAATGTATTAATTATTTTCCAGGGAAAATTCATCAAATAAGTAACACCTGAGTTATAATAATAGAAATATAAATATCATAGATAATTTTTGCAATGAAATAATTATTCCTCAAACACGATATCTAAGTTATCTAATTAAAAAACATGTAAATCCTTACCATCAAAAGATAAGTCCTTTCACTTCGGAGTTCCGAATGACAATGAAGACTGAACGATAAGTGAACGGTGAACGCAAGGTGAACGCAAAGTAAACGGAACGAAGAGCGAACGGTGAACGTTTTGTGAACGGTGAACGCGAGCGCACGGTGAACGGTGAACGCAATACTGTGAACGAAGAGCGAACGGTGAACGCACGCTGAACGAACGGTGAACGAACGCTGAACGAACGGTGAACGAACGCTGAGCGAACGGAAAAATGGGAAATTAGAACGTTTCAGGGACTGTATATAAGGTATATGGATTACTGCATTATGTTACCTTCAAAATTGATTGCAAAGACATACATGCACGAGCTCGTACAAAATGCGTTAAATGAACAATATATTTGAAAAAAGGTAACATAAATTTTTATGTCTTTATATAGATTCTCAGGATATAAAGATATGTTAATGATTTAAAAAACATGCCATGATCATTAAGCATGTGCATGGATGTGCGTGTGTGTGCATTGCGTTAAATGACAGATAAATGATATCATCTTCACTTTTTAGAAATCTTTTATGAAATCCTTCGATAATAAGCATGTTTAAAAAATCTTACAGGAGTTATGCACAAAAGTTGAGAGCGTTTGGGGAAAGGCCCCTTTACAATGAAAACTTGTTATAAAAAGGAAATTACTCATTTCTCTCTTTCAAATTAGAAAAGAATAAAAAAATAAGTTATTTCCCTTTTAATAAATTTGATCAATGCTGCATTTCTTTTACCCGATGCGGAAATGTGAAATTATTGATTATTCCTATTTGACTTTACATTGAGAAATATGAGGTTAAAATGCAAAATTTAACAGCATGTTAACAAAGCCTCCTAATTAAAGAAAGATATCCTGATTATACTTACATGTACATGAACGACTGTTATTCTTTGTTTTTGTCAACAATTCTCTTCTTTCTTCGTTAACCTTTCGTAATTTGGTCAATGATTCATTTGTGTCTTCGTTATCCTGACGTAGTTGTTCCACCTCTCGCTGTAATTTAAGAACCTGTTCATACAAGTTCATTTGATCACCATACCATTCTTGTGTGTTCAGATCCGTACAAAGACAATTTGTTAAAAACAAGCCAAAGACGAAAAACACAAGCCAAACTGTCGCCATTTTTTAAACTTCCTGTTTTCTATTTTTAGTGAATATTTTTTACACAGTTCGTTGAATGATGCATTTTATATAACTTTGATCTTACGCGTGATGCTGGTGTCATTAAACGCCTATTAGAGAACACCAAACACGTAACGAACGAATGTCTGTTTTACGAACGGTAAGGTTGTTTACTTTGTGATTACCTGTGTTGTGTAACTGACGAAACGTTCGGACGAATCACACGTATAGAAAAGCAAAAATTATATGTCAATTTGACAAGTATAATTGCCTTGGCGTTCCATGTACCAGTATGATATAAATATATATGCATATGTTCAGGTGTGTATTTATTGATTTCTTTTATAACTTATAATAAATGAAAATAGATCCAAATTATATGAAAGCATTGGCAAACCGGAGGGGCGTTCAGAGGTTTTTACCCCCCCCCTTTATTAGCTCACCTGAGCCAAAGTAGCCTTGGGTAAAGGGGATTCAATTTTGTTCAAATGAATGGCCACGCTCTTTACCAAGGGGAGATAATTATGAATTCGAGAAAATTTAATGGCGTTTTTTAAAAATCTTCTTCTCATAAATCCCTAAGCCAGGAAAGATGAAACTTATGTGGAATTATCCTCAGGTAGTGTAGATGCAAGTTTGTTCAAATCATGACCCCCGGGGGGAGGATGGGGCCAAAATGGCCGATCAAAGTTTTGAATAGGAGTATATAGGAAAACCCCGTCTGAGGGCTCCGAACATCCATAAGTAAAATGCAAGGTAGAAACCAGCGAACTTTAGCTATACCATTTTTGGACCATCTTCAGAAGTAGCTAACTTATATGCATTAATATTTTTAATCAATATAGAAAAATGTAAAAATGTTCCTGTAGTATGCAGAAGGAGGGTGCTCACTTCTGAGAATAATCTTTTGATACAGTTTTGAAATAATATTTTGTTTTGGAAGCTTCCTCCACATCTTTTGTTGCCGGAAAGTACACAGATTTAAGAGTAAATGTACCGAACAGAAAAGTGACAGGAAGCCCCCCCTCTACCCCCTCCCAATTTTAAAGTGTGGTATATAATTTTTTGTTTTGTTTTTGTTCGTTTTTTTGTCAGTTTTTTGGAGCTGCCCCTTTTTATTAATGAACCTACGGACTTGAAGTGGTTATTGAGTGATTCTATGCATTAGTGCGGGGTACACCGATCTGAACCCCCCTCTACTTTTCAAAAATTGCTAGATCCACATATGTTAAAGAATTACCTTTTCTATTACCATTATTTACGCGATAATCTATGTTTCAGAACCGTTAACTATACTTAACACTGAAAACAATCATTTGCAGTTGCAAAACAGATTATCTGATAAATACACTTTAACGATTTGTAAACTATTGTTTACAACTCTTAACTATAGTTTACGATCTGATAAATATAGTTTCACGATTTGTGAAACTATGATTAACAACTCTACACTATAGTTCACGATTGTAAATTATAGTTTACAGACGTGAATATGTTTTTCAACAAAATCTATCGTAAAGGTGTTATTAAAGACAGATAAACTTACAGAATCCACTTTTGAAATAACTACAAAATAAATGTAAAGCAAGTAATGATATTAATAAACTAGTTATGCACGGTTAATATCGTCGAGATACGTTCGTTCGTTGCGTGTTTGGTGTTCTCTATTAAACGCATCGGTTATTTCAAATCAATACTCAAACTAAATGGAGTGTTTTGGTTTTGAATAAAACCCGATTCAAATAAGATTTCATTGAAAGATTTTGGTTGATTTTATGCAATAAATAGAATTTTACAATACATTTCACGTTAATAATGTTTTAAGGTTTTTAAAAATATCCAGGCAAAATCATCCCTTGCCCTCCTTACTCTGTTTAGTTAAGTACTGTATATGCTGTTAATGATTTTTTGGGATGCTAATATAAAGATCTGTTATCTTGCATTCTTGAAGATAGCAGACAAATCTACTAATAACGTTAAGAAAATGATTATAAAACACACGTATACATATGTATACACAGATTACTGAAAATTCCCAGATTGTAAAAAGGAGTTTATTTCAGGAATCACAGTCTAGTTTTGAGATTATGCCAGAGCATCAAAAATTGTTGGATATAATTTGCATAACGGACTAAACCCGTTTTGCTAAAATTATTCCATGTTTCCCACTATAGTCGATGTCCCTAGCATACTCTCAAAACTAGACAGTGATTCCTTATATTTCCATTTTTACTTGAAATAACAATCTTAAAATAAATTGAAATACCGTCTAATTTAGTATATTTGAAATACAGGAGGCATTCCATAATACATTGCCCCGCCCTATGACGTCAAATTTTACTATAAAAAATAGTCCCATACAAACACGAAACAAATTGAAAGGATATTTAGTTATACTGCGGTCAAATATCAACATTTTTAAATTAACAACAGAAGAATTTCATATTACTACAAAAGCAATCTTGCTAACTTTAATTATATTTCTGACCTAGATTTAGGTTGTCGGAAGCACGAACATGTGTATAGGCCGTAGGCCACTTCTGCTCCGCCATACTGAATGCAATCGAGTTGCTCAGCATGGTCAGGAATAAGAACTGTGTGCGTTAAAATAACAGAGAACGTTGAATTGCGTAATAAGTTGGATGGTAATGACTGAGGGACGATGTCTGTATCGGATGATCTATGTGGCAATGCCGATTTCTCCACGTGGTTTAGATGGGATGTTTACCATGTTTACGGAAGTGAAGTTCTCGGTCTTGCGAAGTCTCAGTGATAATTAGTGATAAGTGATAAGCTAGTGACCTGCTTTGGATCCGAAGAAATTTCATAATTTAATTTGTTTGTAAAAAGATATATCATATCTTATTACATTGAAAACAATCAAACAAAACATTATTTTTCTTCGGTGTATTTTTACGCCACTCATATACATGCAAGTTTGACATTTGACCTTTTAGTAGTATTTCAGTAGAGAAATGTACATGCCACAGGCATCACGGAGCAATTAACAAGATTCACTTTTGTAGTGTTTATCATAGGGAAAAC